AGCAAAGTCCATGACTCCGTCTTGAGTTAGGAGTGTTTAACTTGGGGGTCTGTGCTGGCCTCAGGGGAGCTGGGAGTCCCCTTCTTTCCAGAAGTGGGGAGTGCGTCCTATGTGAGGACCGCGGCTCACCTGGAAGCACCTGGAAAGAGAAAGCAAAGGCCTTCTAGAGGGAGAGCTCAAGCAGTGCCACTGGGCTGGTTGGCCACTGTGTCCATCTGGGGGAAAAGTGGTCTGGGGGCTCTGAAGAACTCCGGGACTCAGCAGGAAAGGGCTGTTAACTAAGATACTATGAAGAACAAGGTGGTGACGGTGTCGCAGAACACTCAGGGGCCAACTGGCTGACCCCAGAGCTTCCTTCCTTTGCCATGCATACTGTGTGGTTTGCCGTGCTCAGCCACTACCACTCCCTACTCTGTACTCAGGAGGTGCTCCCAGCAGTGCTCAGGCGTTTGCCTTGCTCACGGCCGACCAGGGTTCAATCCCCAGTATCTAATATGGTCCCCCGAGCCCCGCCAGGAGTAACTCCCGAGTGCCGAGTCAGGAGGAACCCCTGAGCACCTGCGGGTGTGACCCAAAATGAAAAAACATAAAAGGAGAATCTGAAGGGTTTTTTTTTAAGGTTCAGGAGTTTGTCCAAGTTTCCGGACTGAGTGGAAGCTAAGCTGGTACTCTGTGGCAGCCTGATGCCACAGTTCTGCTCTAACGCAGGAGTTGATGACCTTCATCCCAGGGATCAAATCCAGCCAAGGCCTTCTTTTGTAAATAAAGGACTGAAATCCGGACTGCAGGACCTCGAAGTCTGGCACGCACAGCCGAGACCCAATGAATGACCCACAGAACCACAAATATTGGCCACCTGGCCCTTCATGGAAAAGTTTTCCAACTCTGCTATACTTTCTAGCAGAAAAGTGGGGTGAGAGAGATAAAAGAGAGGCTACCCGGAAAGAGAAAGAGAAGAAAAATGCCTGCCCTAGAGGCCAACTGCGAGGCTGCAGGGGAAAGGGGGGGTGATGGGAGGGAACCTGGGGACACTGGTGCTGGGTAACGTACACTGGTGCAGGGATGGGTGTTGGAACATTGATTGAAACCTAATCATGAACAGCCGCCTTGTAAGGGTCTATCTCACAGTGATTCAATTTAAAAAAAAAAAGAATAGGGACTGGAGCGATAGTACAGTGGGTTGGGCATTTGCCCTGCATGCAGCCTGCTGCGGACCTGAGTTCAATCCCTGTACCTCGAACGGTCCCCTAAGCACTACTCAGGACTAACTCCTGAGTGCAAAGCCAGAAGCCCAGAGCTGGGTGTGGCCCAAAACCCAAAACCCCGCCAGGAAAACCAAATAAACTCTTGAAGATAGCGTTCTGAAGTGCTGTGGTTTGCAGGCGGGGACATGACTCAGGAGCTGGAGCACGGGCTTTCGCCTGCAGGAGTCTTGGGTTTGGTTCCTGGCATCATCATCACCATCATCGCGCCCAGAACACTGCCGGGTGTGACCCTCGGGCCACAATAAATAAATAGCGTGAAGGGAAGTGGCTTGTGAAATGCAGGCACAGGAGAGGGAGCAACAGCTGGGCTGTGGTTTGACTAGAGATTTAAAATCATCCTGTTAGCAATAGCACAGCGGGCAGAGCGTTCGCCTTGCACGAGGCCGACCCGGACTGGATCCCTGGCACCCCATATGGTCCCCCGAGCACCGCCAGGAGTATTTGCTCAGTGCAGAGTCAGGAGTGACCCCCGAGCAGCGTTGCTGGATGTGAGCCAAAAATAAATGAATGGATAAATAAATAAATAAATAAAATCATCCTGTAAGGGGCCTGGGAGAGAGTAGAGTGGTTAGGGCATTAATGGAGTGGTTATGCGTGTACATGGCTGGCCGGGGTTTGATCTCCAGCACCTCATATGGTCTCCTGCACCCACCAGGAGTGATCCCTGAGTGCAGAGCCAGCAGTAAGCCCTAGGCACCATCAGGCGTGCTCCCTTACCTCCACACCAATTTTTAAAACCGTAAAATATTTAAGTTTTAAAACTACTGGGCCCGCTCGAGCAAATTGATGAGCAACGGGAGGACAGTGCTACAGTGCTACAATATTTATTGTTGGTATATTGAAGCTTTGACTTGCAAAATTGTGCACAAAACCTCATTTCGGCATAAATCCAAGAAACAAATTTTGTGTCTTTCCTAAAAATGTCACTCCCAGCGATCTCTGGTTTAGGTTCTATAAATTACAGAAAACGAATTCATGCTGCGCCGCTTTTGTTGGTTACCTGTCTGGTAGCGACCTAAAAGGAAATATAAATTCTAGGGCTGGAGCGATAGCACAGCGGTAGGGCGTTCGCCTTACAAGCGGCCAACATAGCCGACCCGAGTTCGATTCCTCCGCCCCTCTCGGAGAGCCCGGCAAGCTACCGAGAGTATTTGATATGCCAGACACAGTAACAACAAAGTCTCCAATGGAGACGTTACTGGGCCCGCTCGAGCAAATCGACGATCAATGGGAGGGCCTTTACCTTTACCTTTACCTAGGTTCCCAGTACAATGCCTGAGGTTTATAAGCATTCAAGAAACATTTCTTGGGCTGGAGCGATAGCACAGCAGGTAGGGCGTTTGCCTTGCACGCGGCCAACCCAGGTTCGATTCCCAGCATCCCATATGGTCCCCTGAGCACCGCCAGGAGTAATTCCTGAGTGCAGAGCCAGGAGTAACGCCTGTGCAATGCCAGGTGTGACCCAAAAGCAAAAAAAAAAAAAAAAAAAAAAAAAAAGGAAACATTTCTTGACTGAATATACAGGGAAACAACTCACTTTCCTCCCAAGACCCCTTTACAGCAGCATTGCACTGTCTTCCCGTTGTTCATCGATTTGCTCGAGCAGGCACCAGTAACGTCTCCATTGTGAGACTTGTTACTGTTTTTGGCATATCGAATACGCCAGGAGAGCTTGCCAAGCTCTGCCATATGGGCGGGATACTCTGGTAGCTTGCCAGGCTCTCCGAGAGAAACGGAGGAATCAAACCCGGGTCGGCCACATGCAAGGCAAACGCCCTACCCACTCTGCTATCGCTCCAGCCCATAATGACAGTACACTCACAAATCCACAGTGGCTAAAATGTCTTCATTTTTAGATGCTTCCTCCCAAGACCCCTTTACATAAGTAAACTTAAAACCTTTTGCTTGGGACCAGAAGGATAGGACAGTGGATAGGGTGTTTTTCTTGCAAGTGGCCAACTCGGCTTGGATCCCCGGCACCCCATATGATCCCACAGCACTGCCAGGAATATCCCTTGAGCATCACAGGTGTGACCCAAAGAGCAAAAACACAACAACACCAAAAAAAAAAAAAAGAAAGAAAGAAAAATCCCCCACCTTTTGCTTATGTAAGTTATGCCTATCACCATGTTAAAATTAGAACTGAGGGGCTGGAGCGATAGCACAGCGGGTAGGGCGTTTGCCTTGCATGCAGCCAACATGGCCAACACAGTTTCGATTCCCAGCATCCCATATGGTTCCCCGAGCACCGCCAGGAGTAACCCCTGAGCATCGCCGGGTGTGACCCAAAAAGCAAAAAAAAAAAAAAAAAATTAGAACTGAATTTTTAAAATTTTTATTTATTGATTGATTGATTTGGGGACCCCACCGGCGATGCTCAGGAGTTACTCCTGGCTCTGCACTCAGAAATTACTGCTAGCATTGCTCAGGAGATCGAAACCCAGTTGACCGTGAGCAAAGTAAGCACCCCACCCACTGTACTATTACTCCAGCCCCTAGAACTGAATTGTTTTAAGGATTCCGTTATTTAAGATAATACACAAACCATATGCAAACATAATAATTTTGTAAACAATAATTACCTTTACCAAAACAAAACAAAACAAAAAAATCTAGTGAGAAGAGTGGTATTGTTGTCCATGTCTGCAAAGCGCAATCTTAACAGAAGAAGGCTGGGTTCCCGGGGCTCCCTCATTCCATCCATGGGTCCATCCTGTGACAAAGCAACTACACGGAAATCCCTGAAGAGGAGTCAGGAAGTGGCAAAGGACAAACTTAGTATTATCATGAGAAATTATTTTGAGCAGCGGTTTTATTTTGTTTTTAAATTTTCTTTATTGATTGGTATTAAAAACGCCGTGACTTGCAAAGTTGTCCATTATACAGTCATTTCAAGCACGTGGTGTTCCAATACTGCCAGGGTGACCTTCCCTCCATCAGCAACTCCAGTTTCCCTCTAATCCTAACCTGCCCCCTTTGGTGCTTAATAAATTTACTTTACATTGCATAGTCCAACAAAATTTCAAGAACTGGGAAAATAGAATGATCAGAAAATAAATCAGTAAGGGAACCAGCAGTTTTGAAAGGCACCCCCAGATGATCCCCATGAGGCAGGAGATGAAGGGTCATAAACGGGGCCAGGTGCCTTTTTTTTTTTCATTTTTTATAATCTTATTTATTGAATCACCATGAGAGTAGTTACAAAGCTTTCGGGTCTAAGCAGTGCCCTGAAAGGCACTGGTGGAGGGATGGGTATTTGATCATTGTATAATTGAAACCCAAGCACAAAAATGTGTAAGTCTGCAACTGTACCTCATGATGTCTCACTATTAAAAAAATAATAATAATAAAAAAATTTTAAAAAAATAAAATAAAAATAAAAGCCCTGAAAGACACACTTTGGGAAGCTCCGGAGGGAAAACTTATTTTCGGGCAAGCCTTCAGTATTCCTATGCACTTTGCCAGACGGAGAGCGAGCAGCCAAGGGGCAGGGGAGCCAAAAAAAAAAAAAAAAAAAAAAGACCGACCCTGGATTAAAAAAAAAGAGACAAGCCTTGTTTGAAAAAGGGGGGGAGGGGGGTGTGCCCGAGTCCGTACTCCAAGATGGCAGCCCTCACGCCTGCCGACGCCTGCCGTACAATGACGTCACACAGCCAGCGCCGGGCACCGCCTCCCCTCCCGGGGCGGGGCGCCGGCGACGACTACCTTTCCCGAGATGCCTTGCGAGCGGCGACGCCATTGGCCGGCGCCGGCGGAAGTGCCCCGCACGGGGCGGACATGTACTTCCGGCGGCCGGGACAGCAGAGACGAGCGGAGCCGTGGAGCTGTGAGTGAGCCCCGGGGCGCCATCCCCCTGGACCCGGCGGGACCCTCGGCCCGGGGACGGGCGCTCGGGACGCGCGGGGTGACGTTTCCACGCCCGCTTGGCGGCCCCGTGTCCCGCCTTCGTGCCGCCGAGGGCGAGGTGGTGCGGGTCAGGGCGGCCTGACTCAGCGGCCCCGGCCTCGGGGCTGCGCCTTTTCCAGGCGCCTCCAGGCCGGCAGCGGGACAGCAGGACAGAGGGACAGCGGGACAGCAGGGCCCGGGTGGGCTCTCGGGGTTGTGGGGGTTGTGGGAAAGTCCCTTCCCGGCTGCCCCTTGGCACTCAAGAGCCGGGGCGCTTCGTCTCCTCGCCAGGGTTTAGCTCCACGTTTGGTTTTTGTCTTTTTTTTAAAAAAAATTATTGTTATTGGGGCTGGAGCGATAGCACAGCGGGGAGGGCGTTTGCCTTGCACGCGGCCGACCAGGGTTCGATTCCCAGTATCCCATATGAGCACCGCCAGGGGTAATTCCTGAGTGCATGAGCCAGGAGTAACTCTTGTGCATCGCCAGGTGTGACCCCCCCCCACAAAAAAAAAAAGCAAAGAAAAAAATTATTGTTATTTCCTGGGGCTTGAGTGTGCGTGTGTCTCTCTAAACGCGAGCGGGGGCAGCGTGGAAGGCCTCGAAGAAGTGCTGCAAGTTGGGGACTGGAGCGGCAGTACCTTGCGGCTAGGGCGGGTTTTTGTTTGTTTGTTTGTTTGTTTTGTTTTGTTGTATTTGCTTTGCTCATTGCATACCCGGGTTTGATCCCTAACATCTCATTTGGTCCCTGAGCCTGGAACCAGGAGTAAGCCCTGAGCAATACTGAGTGTGTCCCCTTCCCTACCCCCCCCCCCCCCCACACACACACAAAAAGTCATTCTGCAAGTTGGGGGCCAGAGCGATGTACAGCGCGGCTAGGGCGGTGTTGTTTATTTATTTATTTATTTTCCATTGGAGACTTTGTTGTTACTGTGTTTGGCCTTGCACGTGGCAGACCCCGGCAGACCCCGGTTCAATCCCTGGCATCCCATTTGATCCCTAAGCATGGAACCAGGAGTAAGCCTTGAGCAGTGCCGGATGTGTTCTTCCCCCCCCCCCCCCAAAAAAAAAAAGTTCTGCAGGGACTGGAGCGATAGCGGGTAGGGCGTTTGCCTTGCATGCGGCCGACCTGGGTTCGATTCCCAGCATCCCTTATGGTCCCCCGAGCACTGCCAGGAAGGATTCCTGAGTGCAGAGCCAGGAGTAACCCCTGAGCATCGCCAGGTGTGACCCAAAAAGCCAAAAAAAAAAAAAAAGTTCTGCAAGTTGAGGGCCGGTGCAGTAGTACAGCGCATCTAGGGTGTTTTTTGCCTTACATGTGGCAGACCCAGGTTCGATCTCTGACACCCCATTTGGTCCCTGAGTATGGAACCAGGGGTGAGCCCTGAACACTACCAGGTGTGTCCCCTCCCCGCCAAAAGGAAAAAAAGAAGTAGTTGTGCGGGCATTATCTCTGCACCCCTAAAACCGGGGGGCTCGGTGGGCTCTGTGTCGGAGGGGGAAGAGGTCGGCTTCAGCATCCAGCGTCTCCTAACATGCAGTGTCCTCTTCTGCTCCCTCAGAGCTTCAGTTCCACCTCCCTGGCCCTGCGAGCATGGGGGAGAAGGCGGAGAACTGTCAGGCCCCCGAGGAGCTGCTCAATGGCCTGAAAATCACTGAGCCCCTGGAAGCAGAGGGCGCTGGCGCCGCGGGGTCCCCCAGCTCGGAGGATGAGCAGGGAGAGGAGGAGCATTTCCACGCCTGCCGGTCCTCCTTCGAGGACGACGAGCCCGGCGCCGGCCAGGCGGAGGGCAAAGCTGAGGAGGATGCCAGCCCCACGGAACTGGACGACGAGTACCTGCTGGAGCTCGAGAAGAACATGCCTGAGGAGGAGAAACAGGTAAGCTTCCTTTTTTCTTTATTGTACACGATCTGCCGGCCTCTTTCATCATTTTTAAAGGAGGCGCATGCTGACTGGTCCTGCTGTCCACGACTGTGCTGTGTGCGGTGGAGCTGCTCGCATCTATGTGGTTGATTCGTGGCCATGGAAGCAGGACTGAGGAGTAGCGTAAAGGAAAGGGGTGAGAGTGTCTGCTTAGCAAAGAAATTCCTAATGCCGCCTCCTCCCCCATCTGCATGATTGTGTCATTGCTTTCTGAAAGTGGATGTACTTTTTTAGTTTAGGAATACTTGGTTGGCTGCTGAAGTTTCTGAAGTGAACGTTTTGCCGGTCAGACTTTAGAATTAGAGTGTGCTGCCTGTTTGAATTTCTTGCTAGCAGAAGACTGTGTGCCTGGATTTGCTGGGGATAGACTGGTAATGGGGGCCTCTGTCACTTATGTAGCGTTTCCAGTTCACAGGAAACAGTTGTGCACAGTAATAGCTGGTGTCCTTAAAGCACCTATAATGTGCCAGCCACTGGGCTTAAAACGTTCTTCGTTTCATAGTCACTTGAGTCTAAGACATGGGAATTAGCGTTCCCCACAAGAGAACAGAGCTGAGCATGGAGAGTAATGTGCTGGAGGTTAAAAGCGTCTTATAGATTGCAGAACTGATTCTCGGACCTACGCCAAATTGTAGAATTCTGCGATGAACTTTTTTTTTTTTTTTTTTGCTTTTTGGGTCACACCCAGCGATGCACAGGGGTTACTCCTGGCTCTGCACTCAGGAGTTACTCCTGGCAGTGCTCAGGGGACCATATGGGATGCTGGGAATTGAACCCAGGTCGGCCACGTGCAAGGCAAACGCCCTACCCGCTGTACTATCTCTCCAGTCCCTGCAGTGAACCTTTTTATCGGTCAGATTTTAGAGGTACAAACAGGTGTGCTGCCTGTTGGTTTTTAATTTCTTGCTAGCAGAAAAATGTCTGCCTGAATGTCGGCAGCTTGAGAGACCATATGGGGTGCCAGGGACTGAACCTGGGTTGGCTGTGTGCAGGCAAGTGTCTTGCCTGCTGTATTATCTCTCAGCTCCTCACGAGCATTTTGTTGGTTTGTTTTTGTTTTGGCATCACTCCTGGCATTGCTCAGGGCTTACTCCTTGTTCTGTGCTCAGGGACAACTTGCAGCGGTGCTCAGGAGACCTGGGGTGCCCAGGATCGAACCCAAGTTGTCCATATGCAGAATATCTCACCCCCTGTAATATTGCTCCAGCCTTCCCCACACCAACATTTTTAAATGCACGTCATACTTTAATGTTGACAAAAACAGGACCTAGGAACTCATGCCCTAGAATTGTGGTCTGGGCTAGGGAAATGGGGCGGGGTGCGTGCTTCGTATACAAGAGTCCAGACCTTGATCCCCAGCACCTGGAGTCCTGCAGGGACCATCCCCTACGCCCTGAGCTGAGAGTTACCAACTCTGTTTGACCCTGAGCATTGCAGAGAGGCCCTGGGCACTTCTGGGTGTGAATCAGACACCCCCAAATAGCAGTAAACTAAAAAACCCTCAGAAGGATTGGATTCAGAGGGTGTCCAGGTTAGTGAACACAGGGAGGTGAGTGCAAGGAGGTTGGCACCTGCAGAGCGCATGGGACTCATTGCCCCTTCCTACTGCCCTTCCGGGTGCATCTCTTCATCTTCATCTGACAGTTGTTGCTTTCCATCCTCTCTCCTCCTCCCTTCCCTCTGTTGCTTTTTTTTTTTATATAGTGGTAAAGGTAAAGGCCCTCCCGTTGGTCGTCGATTTGCTCGAGCGGGCCCAGTAACGTCTCCATTGGAGACTTTGTTGTTACTGTGTCTGGCATATCGAATACTCTCGGTAGCTTGCCGGGCTCTCCGAGAGGGGCGGAGGAATCGAACTCGGGTCGGCCATGTTGGCGCTTGTAAGGCGAACGCCCTACCGCTGTGCTATCATTTTTTTAGTGAAGGAGTATTACTATTTAGTCAGCCATTGATTAGACTGATTGAATTGGGCATGAACTCCACTCTGTTGCTTTGAGGGCGTGGGGAGGGCACACCTGACTGTGCTCAAGGATTACTCCTGGCTCTGCACTCAGGGGTCGCTCCTCGAAGGACTTAAGGAACCATATGGGATCAACCCTGGGTCAGCTGCGTGCCAGGCAAGTGCCTTGTTTGCTGCACTCTCTCTCTAGCCCCTTGAGTTACTTTTTAAAATTTATAATAAACCAGGGCCAGAGCAATAGTACAGTGGGTAGGACACTTGCCTTGCAGGCGGCCAACCTGGGTCTGATCCCTGGCACCCCGTAAGGTTCACAAAAAATTTATGACAAACCATTTCTTCTTTAAGTCACCTGCTTGCTTGAGTGAACAGAAGGGAAGGGGAGGGAGGAGAGAGGGGGAAGAAAAGGAATTGTAAGTTTCCTTCTTAAAAATACTTTTGACTGTCTTAAATTCTAGCATTTGATTTGATTTACTTAAAAGTTGGGCTGGAGTGATAGCACAGCTGTAGGGCGTTTGCCTTGCACGCAGCCAGCCCGGCTGAGCCGGGTTCGATTCCTCCACCCCTCTCGGTGAGTGTGGCAAATTACCAAGAGTATCTCGCCTGCACAGCAAAGCCTGGCAAGCTACCTGTGACGTATTCAATATTCCAAAACACAGTAACAACAAGTCTCAAAATGGAGACGTTACTGGACCCGCTTGAGCAAATCGATGAACAATGGGAGGACATGAATGAATATCATGAATGAATACTTAAAAGTTGCCAGTGTTCGCTTCCCTTTCATTGCTGTGAGGCTCCACACAGTCCTTTGTGGGGCTCACTGGGGGTCTGCACCCTGTGATGCCAGGGATCCCAGACCTCAGTACCACCAGAATTGCACTTGACAAGTTTTGGGGTGCCAGGAACAGGCCCCAGGTCCTCCTGCTTGCAAGGCAGGTGCTGTGGGGATTAACCCCCCGTTAATCCCCACCCCAAGCCCTTGGAGTTCCGACCCTGCATTCAAGCATGGCGAAGCAAACATTCTGTGCTCCAAAACCCTCGGGCGTTAGTGGAATAAGCTCGGACTGTTTGCTGACGGGAAAGTTTCAAAGTGCCACCCACTCTTTTCTGTGCTTATTGATCTAGAGGATGACTTTGCAGATCAGTGTTCTCAAAGTTTATTATACCTGAGAAGTCAGAGGAAACTTCTACTCCAGGCCTGAGGGGTGGCACCGAGGCTCTGCTTTGTTGGCGGGCGTCAGTCCGATGAAGTCAGAGCTGTGGCCGCATGACTGTTGTGGGACATGGAGAAGCTCGGGGGGGCACAGGCGACTACCAGCCTGGCCAGTGTACTGACCGCATCCCATGGCAAAAGCGGGTTTTCTTCTACCGTCTTCTCTTCTCCGCATCTAAAAGCTCCTGCTCAGGTGTGAAGCAATATCAAAATAAGGACACCTGCTTCTATGAAGTGTGTTTTGGGAAAGAGTTCTGAGTTAAATATTTCCCAGGTGTGTATGTGTGGGAGCGAAACAAGGAAAGTATTTCCCAGGCCAGAGAGGTATACAAGCATTAAAGCACTTGCTTTGTGTTAGGCCAGTTCTGGTTCCATCTGTCACCACATATGTCCCTCGAGCACCACTAGGACTGGTTCTGATTCTTGAGCAAAGCTGGACATGCCCCTCCCCCCCGAAATATTGGAAACAAAATAGTTCTTTTAAAGAAAAAAAATTCACAGGCAGTGAGAGATGGCTTGGCTGGTTGGAGTGCATTTCTTGCACACAGCGGGGCTTTTTTTTTTTGGCACCTCAGGGTCTCCAAAGCAAAGGGAGAAGCCCCCTCTGAGCACCTCTGGGTGTGACCCAAAAAACGAACAGGAGAGATATTTATCTTCCCTCGAAACGGTACGCCTTGCTGAGCTTGACCGGAGGCCTGTCCTCTGAGGGCTTTTGAAAGTCACTTGTGTCTCTCTGTAGCAGTAATGATTCTTTTTTAATGTGATCAGTTCCCTTCGGAATCATTTGTCTGGATTGCTGTCCCTGCCATTTCAGCTTATTTTTCTGCTCTTACCCAGGAAAGAATGCCACCTGTCTTGCTGCCTGTGCTGCCATTGTTGAGATCTTTTTTAAATGTTGTTTTTCAGTGGAAAGGCTCACCCATTGCAACGCAGGGTTTCTTCGTGGCTCCGCACTCAGGGATCACTTCTGGCAGTGCTCAGGGCGTCATAATGGACTCCAGGGATGGAATGGAACCCAGTTGGCCATATGGAAGGCAAAACTCTTCCCACTGTGCTATCACTCCAGCTGCCTCCTCTCCCCCATGTTCCTTTTTATTTTTTTCTCTTTGGGTCACACCCAGAGATGCTCAGGGGTTACGCTCCTGGCATACTTAGGATTGACTCCTGGCAGTGCTCATGGGGACCATATGGGATGGTGGGGATCGAACCCAGGTCAGCTGCATGCAAGGCAAATGCCCACCCTGCTGTGCTGTTGCTCCAGCCCCCTCCCTCTTGTTCCCTAAACACCCTTTTTACCCAGATGTGATTGACAAGTCTCCGACCATGCTGTACTTGGTATAAAAGTTCCTGCCAATTTTGCTTTTGTAGCACTCACTTTATAAAGCCACAGGGGGAAGCAGAGAGCTGCTGAAAACTCAGTGTGGAATCAACGTGGTGCTGATTGTGGTTTTGGTTTTCCTTTGTTGCCTGTGAAACAGACAAGATTCTTGAAGTGACTGTCTCTTAAAACATCTATTTAGCACAGTTACTCCGTGATGCTAGAAGCTGTTTGTGTTGTGTTCACCGGCTGCTCTAAGGTACGGTCTCCCCGGGCAGTCGCTGCCTTGAGGGGTCCCTGGTGCAGATGGTGGAGGTTTTATGTTATTTTCGGCATTCCTGCCAGATTATAACCAGTTGAAATGGAAACAGCTGGAACTGGATTGCCTCACAGTTGGAAAGCCTTTCCCCACGCCGAGGCGGAGGGCCATCCACCTGCTCTCTCCTGCTCCATGGCTTCCTGTTTCTCCA